TGCACTTCTCGGGGTTGAACCTCATCTTACATTGTCTTGCTTGGGCGAAGACTTCTTTGAGGTGGGCTGCATGGTCGGTGTCTGCTCGGGATTTGACGATCATGTCATCCATGTAAACCTCGAGCATGTCCTCGATTTGTTTGTGGAACACTCTGTTCATCATACGTTGGTATGTTGCCCCTGCATTTTTTAGACCAAAGGGCATTACGTTGTAGTAATAGTTGCCCGAGCTGGTCATGAAGGTAGTGCAATGCTTGTCGCCCATGGCCATTGGGATTTGCTTATAGCCTGAATAAGCATCCATGAACGACAGTATTTTGTAGCCGACCGAGTTGTCGACCAGCATGTCTATGTTCGGTAAAGGAAAAGCATCCTTCAGGCATGCCCGATTGAGGTAGGTATAATCAACACACATTCGACATTTTCCATTATTCTTTTTGACTAATACAACGTTTGACAGCCAGGTTGAATACCGGGCTTCAAAAATAAAATTTGCCTCTAAGAGGTCTTTTACAGCTTTTTCAGCAGCCTCCGTTTTCTCCGGAGATTACCTATGTCTACGTTGTACTACTGCCTTAGCGGCTGGATCTATGGCAAGACGGTGACAGGCAACATCGGGGTCGAGTCCGGGCATCTCTACGGCGCTCCACGCGAACAAGTCAGCATTCTCACGCAAGCAGGCTTTAATATGCTTCCTTGCCAGGTCAGGGAGGTCGGTACCAATCTCCACTCCTTTGCTTGCGTCCTTGCCGAGGGGGACAAGCTCGAAGTTCCCATATAGAATGGGTTGGAGGGGGACTTGCTCGCCGCTGGGAGGTTCGTCCTGGTCGAAACGAGTGTCCAGAGCTATGGAGTCAACCTTTGGGGGAGCTCTCTACTCTTCTGCTTTGACGAGCTATGGCTTGTCGGGCTCTTGTCGTGTCGTCACTGGTCTCTTGGCGGGCCTTGTCCCAGTGTCGACCGTGTCGCGTCCCTTGGATGCGGCGCTAAAACACCTTCGAGCAGCGGCCAGGTCCCCCTGGATGGTAGCAACCCGTGCTTTCTTGGTGTAGAATTTCATCTTCAAGTGGACGGTGGAGGGTACCGCGGTCAGTTCTGCTAGTGTTGGTCTTCCCAGGATGCAGTTGTAGAGGGACGGGAAATCGATGACGAGGAAGCGCACCTTGACCTGCCTCGTCGTCGTGCCCTCGCCGAAGGTAACCATTACCTCAACGTATCCCCAGGGTTTGGAGGTCGAGCCGTTGAAGCCCTGTAGGTCCGACCCCATATAAGGTGAGATGTGCGAGTCGTCGAGCTGCAGGGTCCGAAATAATTGACTGTACATCACGTCGACGAAACTTCCTTCGTCGATGAGGACGTGATGTACGTCAAAGTTAGCCATTCTTGATCTTATCAGTAGAGGAGTGACCGCATTGGGGGCCCCTCTGGGGAGTTCTTCGAGATAAAAGGTGATAGGCTCCGACCTACCTTTCACCCTTTAAAAAGTCACCGTCTGAGGAGGGGCAAAGTCGACCAGTTCATCCAGCTTCCTCTTGGCCGAATTTATTGTTAGATTGTTGAATCCTCCACCATTGATGACCATGGTGGAGGGAAAGTACTCCCACCTGCTGTGCGTCATAAGCGGCTCTTGCAGGTGTTCGGGGACGTAGAAGTCCTCAGGTCTTGTGACGGAGAAGGCGGTCTGGACGGGGACCGACTCGTCAGATGGTCGGGCATCCTCCTCCACTTCTCTTGTTTCACGGGCGTCGTGACGAGGGGCGTCGTTTCGCCGGTATTGGGCGAGCCTCCCTCCCTTGATGAGGGTTTCGATGGCGTCCTTGAGGTGGACGCAATATTCAGTCAGATGACCATGGCTCCTATGGTACTGACAATATTTGCTCCTCTCCACCCCGGGCTTGGAAGGAGCTGGTCGGGGGCGCTGGACGCTGCCATCTTTAAAATCTATGCTGGCACACTCCGCCAAGATGCGCTCGCGGGAAGCCGTGAGCGGAGTGGAGTGTATTCAGTGAAGCACCCCGAGGGTCCCCTCTGTTCACGGAGGTCTCGGGGTTTGTCATCTTTTCTTTTCTCCCGGGCTCGTCGAGAAGGGACGGTCTCTTGGCGCGGGTTATTGCTGGACCCGCGGGTTCTGGGGTCACGGGCTCTGTTGGCCGCTTCCCTTTCCTCGTAGTTCATATAGGCCCTGGCCTTCTCGAGGAGAGCGTCAAACATTCTGGGAGGTTCGATGCCCACTGCTTTTCTGAATTCTGTGCCAGGGAGGAGCCCCCTCTCTAGCAAGTACCTTTTCATGTGGTCCACGCAGGGGACCTGTATGGCTTCGCGATTGAAGCGGTTGATGAACTCTCGCAACGTCTCGTCCTGCCTCTGGACGATGGCCTCGAGCGCTGCCTCGGTCTTTGGATGTCGCTGAGACGCGGTGAACGAACTAATGAATTGATTCTTCAGGTTTTGCCACGAGGTGATTGACCCCGGGGCAAGACCTTTATACCAATCCATTGCTGCCTTCCTGAGGGTCGTGGGTAACAGCCGGAATTTGATGGGTCCCCCGACATTATGGTAATGCAGCATGGCCTTGAACCCGTCTATATGGTCGACTGGGTCCACGACTCCATCATATTCTTTCAGATGTGGAGGCTTCTCCATGTCCGGGGGAATGGACGCCTCCATGATGGCTTATGAAAGGGGACCGCGGGGGTCGTCCTCGTCACTTCGCTCTAGGGATAGGGATGGGGACCTGAGATAATGTCGGGCACGCCGGTCCTGATCGTGTTGGACGTCCCTCAAGCGGTGCGCTCGCTGATCCGTCCTTCCATGCCTGTCTCCAGGGTGTCTTCGTTCTTGTCGTAAAGGGCCGTGGTTGCGCCCTCCGGCCTCAATGATTGGTTCCCTCTCCAAGGGGGGTCGTCTCCCCGGTTGTTAGGGTGAAGGGCTTCGGGAGGTGTCTCTGTATTGTCTCTGCGGGGGATACAAGAGATGTACCTCTGCTCTTCGAGGAGGTGGGGTCTAAGGCCTCCTATGTCTCCTCGCGGGTCTTCTGTCGTCCTCCAGCGCCCTCAATATTTCCCCCTCGGCAAAGATGAGGTAGTTGGTTTGATTGATTATCGCGAACAGTGCTCTGGTCGTGGCATCTGCCCCAGCGGGGACAGGGACCTCCTGAAATTGGGCAGCTAGATAGTTTGGGGGAGCCGTATTGTCTTCTTTGGGTGGAGGGGGGACCGAAGAACATGAGGCCGTAGCTCCGTTCCGGTTGCCTAAGGGCCCGGGGATGACGCCCCCGGGGAGCGTATTATGGACGGCATTGCCGGCGTTGTCGGGAGCTCCGTTCTTGTCCGCGAGGTTGTTGTTGGCGTCAACGACGCAAACGTTCTGGTCTTCCCGTGTCTGGTCAGCCATGACGGTGGAAGATGGTTTTTAGCTTTGGTCTTTGAGAGTTTGTAAGACGGTGAAGCTAGTTTCCCACAGACGGCGCCACTGATCTTACCGGATCAGACTTGGACCGTCACAGCTGGCTCGAACTGAATTTGAGTGAGATGGGTGGGGGGGGGGGGGGGGGGGTACCTGCAAGACACTCCGATGCTAAAATGAGAGACAGAATGAGCAGGTAAAAGTGTATAGGCGTGTAATAGATGAATATCTGACCCTCTTGGAACAAAGGGTATTTATAGCCCCCAGCGTTTGGCCAAGGTCCCCCCATTGGACTGACTAGAACTGACCCAATAAAGGAACTACCAGGTTCTACGTGTGTAGTGGGGCCCCGCACGTGGTCCCCTTCTTGGTGGTGCTCTGCGAAGAATAAGGAGGGACGAAGACGCGGTCTTTCCGGAGCTTAGAGAATTCTATAACGGTCAGAGTGGACAGAATCTGCCCTACGGGGAGGGTGCTCGAGCGGGGCTCGAGCTGGAGTTCCCTTGGTCGGGGACACTGCTTGTCGCGGGCGATGATGGGCATAGCGGCTGCAGTCTGTGGTCGGGCACGTTCGGTGATGGTCCGTTTGTGAGCATTCCCCGAGAAGTTGTTTGGATTGGGCCTTTATCTGCGCTTTGGGCCAAGGCGGGCCCAGTCCAGATATAGATTTGATGACATCCGTACTAGCGAATATTCGTATCCGCTAATAATTAACAAAAATACTTAAATATTAATTTATTTAATAAAAATTATTATTACTATTATTATTATTATTATTGTTATTATTTTGTTAAATATATTATTATTATTATTATTATTATTTTGATAAAAGAAGAAATAAAATGAATGTGATTTATTTTTGTTATTATTTATTATGTATCAATTTTAAAAATAATTTTTTTATCTTTAAAAGCGATAAAAAAATTAATTATTTAAATATATATTTTTTTAAATAAATTCATATAGTAATATCCATGAATATCTTAATATCCACACAAATATGTGATAAATACAAATATAATATTTATCAGTAGTATCCGTACTCATACATATTCACTGTCCTCCCTATTTATAAGGCACGGTTAATTTGAACAACCATTTATTTTAATAATTGTGAAATGCTAGTACTAAAGTGCAACTTCACATCAATGGTAGGCAGTAAGTTACAAGATCCTAACATGTGTCTAAACATAGAGCCACCTTAAATCAGAGTCACATTCTTTCGATACGAAGTGTCCTCACGCTGGCAACAACTTTAAGACTAATCTCAGGGTTCGCCCATAGATCAATTAAAGATTATCCAAGACATGATTGTTTAACTCTGTGAGAATCTGATCCTGAAAAGTCGCATTCTTGTCCTCTATGCTTCTCACTTTATTATTCTCTTACTTACAAATTCCAACGAAAAAACACAACTCGTTGCTTCATTAATTTATTTCACCTGTTAGTTGCATTATTACAAAGATTTCCTTATTAAAAAAACAAAACAACGATGTTTCTCTCTCTATTCTCCGCTTCAACTCTTTCGTCAAACTCACTCCACTACCAAAAAAACAACTCCATCAACTGAACTACAGTACTAAACAAAAAAAACCATGTCGGAGAATTCTGAAATATCCGCAAGCACATCATCCAGAAGTCTCGGCGAGATACCAGAAATCGCCGCTATAAATCTCAAAATCGACCTCGTATCATCAGCCAAACGTAATATCACGTTCTTGAAAAGGGTTGCCGATTCTCAATGGCTTCACCACACAAACATTACAGTGGAAGCAATACGAAGGTTTGTATAATCACCTTATTATAAATGTTAATAAATGAACTTGATCTCACGGTGGCACGTTTTTGTAGGTACCGTGATTTATGGATGCCGTTGATCTCTGATCTGACGGTGGTTGACTCTTCGTTGCCTATGGTTCTTCCTCCGTTTGATGTTGAGTGGGTTTGGTTTTGTCACACTTTGAACCCTGTGAGTTATAGAGAATATTGTGAGAGAAGATTCTCGAAACTCATTGGTAGAGCGGTTATCTATGACGAAGAGAATAGAGAATATGCTTTGTTTCGATGCAGAGAAATTTGGAACAGTAAGTACCCGTTCGAGTCTTTTGAGAATGAAGCGAGTTCTGATTCGCAGGATTCTGATACAGTGGTTGCCGAGGATGATGTTTTTAAGGAAGTTGAGAAGCAAAGGTTGTTGTGTTGTAAGTTTATGGAACCGTATAGGTCTGAATTGGTGTACTTGATAGCTGCGAGACAGAGATACAAAGCTTTCTTGTTTATGATGCAAAGGTTTGGTTCTGAATGTTGTTCGCCTTTGGTACCTACTTCTGAAATTTTGCTGATGTGGTTGACTCATCAGAGCTATCCAACAGTATATATGGAAGATTTGAAAGCGTTGGGTTTAGAGAGTTATATGCACAAGGTTGCAAATTTGTCTGAAACTGTGAAGGAGGAGGAGTTTGAAGAAACCAAGAAATTGTGGGATAGAGCATTCAATCAACCTTATGAGAAAGCCGGTGGAGACGTGCCTCTGACATTGGAAGGTGCTATTGCAATCAAGTCCCCCATCTCGTGGGAGGAATCGGACACAGATGTTAATACAAAATATCGGTCATTGCTTCCGCGGTTTTTACTCGAGGTTTGTTTCATACTGTTTTCCTCTCATAAGGCCTATTAATCAGACTTGTTAAGTTTAGCATAGTCTATTTAAACGAATTAATAAATTTACTTTATTTGCAATTATTTTCTACAAACAACATGGAAAACAGTGAAATCTTATGCCTAGATTCATGAAGTTTATGTAATTTTTAAAATGCAGGCCTGTGTGTTTGTGAGGCCTAAGCCAAGAATAAAGGCATTGCAGAAGGATACAAACCGTGAATTCCTACGCCTTCGAACGATTAGGTGTCATAGTGAGCTAAAGTTAGATGAAGCCATCTCCAATTTCCCCTTTGATTCATGGAAAAAAGCCTGGCATCTTTACTGTGAGTTTGGAAGCAAGGGAGTTATGCTTGAATATCGCCGTCATGGTGGGGTCAACTGTCTGAAAAGAAGTAGCAGGCGAGACACCATTTCATTCCGCTGGAATGATTTATTGAGAGCAGATACTCTAATGTTGGAAAAAGAAGTTAGTCAACAGGTGAATGTCGTTGTGTCGATTACACCACCGGTTCAAGCACCATACTTGTTGAAATGTGTACCTGATCGAGTCACGGATGATTTAGGGGCAATGATATCTGATGTTTTTCTAAAGATGAATAATTATCGCCCACAAGAAGGACGTTGGCTGTCTCGCACAGTTCTTGATCATGCAGGGAGAGTGTGTTTTGTTATTAGAATTAGGTAAACTTTCAAAGTTTACCTATAAAGAAATACTACCTCTATTTCAAAAATGATTTTCATATTGAAATGGAGTGAGTAGATCGTAGAGTTAGTTTGGTGAATCGAGATTAACCTTTCTATTTACACATAGGCAAATGTTTAAACTGCAGGATAGCAGGAGGGTTTTGGAGAAGAGGAGGTGAAACTCCTTCCGCTGTAAAATGGGAAGATAAGATAATAGAGATACGCGAAGGAACTTGGTCTTATGTTGCTGGTTCCATTGGTAGAGCCCCTGGTATGTTTTATATAAATGTTACTTCTTGAAAACTGTATTAGTCTCATGTCTCTATTTCCTTTATAGTTCATATTAGTCTAGTTTAAAAAATTTGTGTGAGCCAGGTTTACTAAAAATTTCAAAGTCTAAGTCTAACTTGTGACCTATCAAGGGCTTGTTTTTAAACCTGAGTTTGGCCTTTTCGAAAATTTGATTGACCTATTAGCCTATATAAAACACTATTTTATTTGAACATTTTCAAATAAGCAATTCAATTAGTGTTAAAATAGACTAACAAATTAAAATGGTTAATTAGACTAGATACTTATTTGTATTGACTTATTCAAGTTATCTATTAACATATATTTTGTGATACTATTTGTTTGAAAGAACTTATTAAAACAACTTATGGCATTTTTCATAAGTCCTTTTAAACATATAAACTTTATTTTCGTATTTTAATTTAAAATACAAACACCATATAATAATAATAATAATAATAATAATAATAATAAAAGTATTTATATTTATTTAAATAGGCTGGTCTAATAGACTTAAAAGGTTATTTTGCGGGTACGTGACCTAATCTTTTTAATTAAATAGGCTTATAAAAAATTCTGAGCCTTTTCTATTTAAAAAAGAGTTTGGCCCAGTCTAGGCTAGTCTGTAGACCCCTGTTATTAGTCTGACCTACTTCCAACTTTATGCGAATTTAAAATACTTTGGTGTTTTTTTTTTTGTTTCTGTCTAGTACAGAGAAGGTTGTGGCCACTGCTGCACCAAAGGAATCTACAGAACAATGTAAAACAGTGTGGCGCTTTTCAACAGAAGATGAACTGATTATAGAGTGGGATTCATCGCTGTCATTATCAAGTCTCACCTTTAGTTTGACAAATCCAACATCTCCCGAGTCATCGGTAGCGTGGAGACGTCTCTAAATATATACTCGTAAATAAAATGATATTTTTTTCCTTCTTAAATAATAACTTGGCGGAAGTTTTAATCATGAGTTGCAGGTGAAGTTATTGAAAGGGAGGAAAATGCAATATAAAGTGAAGAAAACAAAGTCAATGAACAAAAGCGAAGAAATGGAGGATGAGGATGAGGGTTTTCTAACGGTAGTACGTTTCACAGAAGATAACCAAGATGGAAAAGCAACAGCTCTACTGAATTGGAGGCTTTTGGTTGTCGAAGTATTGCCCGAAGAAGACACTGTGTTGATGCTTCTCCTTTGCATTACAATACTGAAAAGTGTATCCGAAATGAAAAAACACGACGTGGGAGATTTGTTGGTGAGGAGAAGATTAAAGCAAGCAAAAAATGGTACTAAGGATTGGGGTTCTGTGATACTTGATCCATCTTCATGTGGTGATTCACCTTATGTTCAACCTTGGTATTGGAATGCTGGGCTTGTTATGGCATTGGATGAAGGAGATCAACTCAAAAGGCAGCCAGTATTAAGTCATTCTGCAGTGGAAGGCGGTGAAAAGTTATACAAGAATGGGATTATCAGTTAAGCCTTCTTTTCTTCTTTTCCAATTTTAGCTTGTTTGCTTGATTGTAATTGATTTTTTTTCCTACTTTCTTTGATAGTTGTACTTGTATGTATCTATAAAAAATTGGAAGTTTACTTTTTTTTTTTCCTTTCTGTTTTTTTATTATATTTAAGGTGATAATGAAAAATATTTGTATAGGAACACATCTATACTCATATTTTTAGAAACATCAATAAGAAAAGGGAAAAATTTTAAATATAATTTCTTTTTTAATTAAAATCATGAGATAATAATGATTATGAAAAAGAGACAAATTTTTATTTTTATTTTTTTAATTAATAAAAAAAGTATACTTTGTTATTTGTAAAATTACATGTTATATTCGTTTTTATATACAAATATTTTTTAAGTGGTTATATATATATATATATATATATATATATATATATATATATATATATATATATATATATATATATATATATATATATATATATATATATATATATATATCCTTTGTCACTGTTAAAGTCATCTTCTTCTCCTTCAGAATTAGAAAATGACAATCTTCACAAGTTCTTTATTAGATTCATAAGCCATTAATAGTACATATTCGTCATCATAATCTCCTCTGACTATTTTTGCTTCTTTTTTGTTTGACCATCAATCTTTAGTAAAATGGCCAAACATATTACAACAGTAACATTAAAGCATTCTCTTGTCATGCTTCTCCTTTCCCTTCTGATATTTCTTTTCATCTGAATAGAAGTCTTCTGACTTCTGGAAATTATCATGTCTTTTCTCGTTTTAGTCCTTCTTGACAAAAGCTTTTAGAGTCTGCTCAACTCCTCTCTCAAAAGTTCTTTCAGTCAGACGCAACTCTTGCGTTTCTAGACTGCTTTGCAGCTCTTCTATTCTCATGGTATCCAGATCTTTAAAATGTTCAACTGCTACAACAATGTAATCAAATTGAGAAGTAAGAGACCTCAATATCTTCTCAACGATTACTTGTTCAGAAAGGATTTCTCCACAAGCTTTCATCTCATTAGTGATCAGAATCACTCTAGAGATGTACTCAGAAACCTTCTCGTTGTCCTTCATGTTGAGATTCTCATATTGCTTTCGCATGGATTGAAGCCTCACCTTCTTCACTGATGCAACATTACCGTAACACCTGACCAGTATATCTCATGTGCCCTTTGACGTCGCCGAATATGCAATCTTCTCAAATACGATCACATCCACACACTGATGGATGTAGAACAACGTCTTATGATCTTTCTTCCTCTTGTCTCTCTGTGTGTTTCTCTACTCTTCTGTTGCGTTTTTTTGCAACTGGAACATAATCTTCGGTAACAAACTCAAGAACATCTTGAGCAGCAAACAACACACGCATCTGAATCATCCAACGATTTTAGTTCTTACCATCAAATACTGGAAGCTTGGTATCCAGATTGTCGTTTTCGTTCATCTTTAACCTTGTACAAGACACTCAGATCTCATAAACACAGTGTTTCTCAATCCCACAGAATTAGAAAATGTGATTCTGTTCAAATTTTGTTCAAGAATCAACACAAATTCAAGAATCAAAATCAATCATACAACGCCTCACCATTTCACTCGTGTTTCTTGTGGATGGAGCTCTAGATACCAATTTGTTGGTGTACACAGTTAATAAATAAAGAAAAGGTAAGAGAGAATAATATTAAAGCTCTGCAATAATGGCTACAAAGTTGTAAGAAGGAATGATTGAACAATGATTATTGTTGTTGTTGTTGTTACTGTTTATACACAAAGTAAAATTGTCACGTAGGTCATAATAAAAATAAGTTCAATGACTAAGTTAAAAGGTACAAATTAGAAAATATTAAACTTAACAGATACGCTAACAAACTCAGCTCCAAAACCCCAGAAGCTAAGCATACTTTTGGGCGTAACCTCAGAAGCTTCTGCTTCTGACTAACAATCTCATAAATTTTACTGCTTATGAGCAACACTGCTTCTGACTAACAACATCAGAAATTTCTAATTCTAACATCAACTTCTGAATATGAAATACTTTTCAATAATTTCTTCTTCTATAACTCAATGTTGGCTATGTAAAATTAAAATTCATTTTCGTTTTGGGGCATACTCTACTTCCAAATTATATCCCAAATCTTTAATTTTAGTTGTTTAATTCTGAAATAGTTTTCGATATTCTTCCACACCCACAATCGTTGGTCTACTGCAACTGCTTCAACTGCATGTTATCACTTCAACTAAGCAACTAGATTATAAAAAAAAACTCCTATTCATATCTTTCTTTGTGTTGAACTGAAAAGATCCATTTTTCAATTGAACTTAGTTGAAGTGAATTATTTATTTGAGAAGACCCATTACTTATTGAACTTAAGTTGAATTTTGTATTTTACAAACCCTTCTATTATTAACCCTTATTCTTGCTGAATATGGAAAGGAGGCTTAATAGGAAATAAAAAACACGTCCTTTTCAAAAAGAGTTCGAGTTTACATGCCTTTCAGCGGAAAAAGAAAGTTTGATGAATTGTGATTGATTTTAGTGCGGATGTGAATCCAAAAAGTTTGTTTGTGAAAAGGTGTGGCAAGTATAGTTGCGTTCTCTTATTGAAAGACGAGTGCTCGGATAGTAAGCTCTAAAGTGATATCCTCGCACTCGGAATAGAAGAGATTTGCACCTAGTCATCTCCTTTTTTACTTCAATAAAGAAGAATTATACTTGTTTTATTTTAGAGTGTTTTGATTTGGTAGGAAAACACTTAGACAGAGATCTCGATAGCAGTATCTAAACACTTGGGAAAGAAAGATGTCTGCATCCAATCACTTCCTTTTCTGTTCCATTTTTATTGTGAAAAAGAGTTTGAAAAAACAACTTGATATATGGATCAAGTGTTTGAAGATTTTGTTTTGTTTTTGGTTCAATGGTGTATGGAGAATGGAGTGAAGTAGTAAATAAGTACTTGGTGTTGGACCATTCATTCACGTTGGAGTTCGATTTGGAGTTTTATTTGTGAAAACACTTGACATTGAATCAAGCTTGGTTTTTGTCTTTTTGAAAAAAGGTTATTTTTATCGTTTTGTTTTATCTTGTTTAACAAACATGCAAAGGAAAGCGATAAAGAAAGTAAAGTCCTACAATATTACATGTCTATGGGATGGGGGAGCATTTTACCCACTATAGGGAGATGGGTCATACTAAACTATTACACTTTTACTGGGAATGAGAATATTTTACCTACAATAGAAAATGAAACATAAACCATGCAAGAATTAAATCCATATAACTATAAACCATACAACAAATATGCACCAAATTAACCATACACCAATCTAAGTATAAGCTAAAATTAAGGAAAAAAAGTGATGCAAAATATGATGAAAAATGTGTGAATAAAAATCATGGTCTTAAAAGTTTACCTAAAAGATCTAAACTTAGTTCTACAATTTATAAGAAAAATCTAATTTAACTAAAAATTTAATCTAAAATTAGTCTAAAAACAAAATCCTTTAATAGTTGTTGTCATGTATTTTAATTTAAAAAACAAAGTGAAAAGAACTTAAAAAGAACTAAAAATCTGGGGGTGCATAGTTAGAAAATGAGTGTGGGGAGCCTCATTGAGGCGTTAGGCTTTGAATTGAGCCCAGAAGAACTCAGCATGTCAAAAACAACATATAAAAATTGAATTTCTATTCCACTCTATAAGGTTAAAAAACACCATATGTAATTCTAAAAATGTCCTCTAGAAAATCATAAATATATTTCTAGTACGCACCTAACACACATACAATTCTTTCGATTTTGAGATATGTCCTATTTTACGATTTAATTTATTCTAGAAATGTATTTCCGAAAGTTCTCAAAAATACATTTCCAATTACATTAATATAGCAGAAGTGATACACTCAATGAATTAAACTAACCTTTTAAATAGTGATTTTCATGTATTACCTCAATATTCTCAACTAATACACACTTGAAATAGATGCATTTTTAAACCTATTTATGAGAATGATTCCAATACAAGGGAATACAGTCTAAAAATTAAAAAGCTAGAGTTTATATTTTCAAAGTCTTATAAATCATTCAAGGATGATGACGGATTTCTTACATGTATTATAGCATTGAAAAAACCTATTAAGAATGAGTCATGGAACTTCAACACATATTATGTGTTATGAAATTACGATAATTTAGTTTATACTTATGTCACTGGGTGTTTCAATTGTTAAGTTAAAATATTGAGATCTTGCATTGACTAACTAGTGATATGGCCAAAGAAGTGATTACTCCTTTTAAGAATCGAACAATCCTCACCTCTTGAGGAAACCAGAAATGCATTTTCGAAAAGTTTCGAAAGTGCATTTCCACAGTAAAATATGTCGTTTAAATGGGGAAAGTCTAAAAAACGAATGAATTGTATGTGTGTGGTGCGTACCAGAAATATATTTCCGATTTTTAAGAGTATTTTTGGAATTCGCGTGGTGCGTTAGAAAACCATAGGGTGGAATAAGAAATTCCCTATAAAAAACTATATCGGGCTTTAAAGTGATCCCAATATGCCTTTCAGCCTCAAATGTGGGGGTGTTCACCAGCAAATGCGCGTACACGACATTAAATAACCATTGGGCCTCACCAAAGGCCCCATGTATAAACTGAAAGTAAAAACAAGAAATAAAAAAAACGAAAAAGAAATAAAAAACAAAAAAGAAAAAAAAAAGAAAAAGGAAAGTAAATTGGATCCAACGCGTCGTTCAACTTCTTCTCTCTCTCTCTCTCTTCTCTCTCTCTCTCTCTCCCTCTCTCTCTCTCTCTCTCTCTCTCTCTCTCTCTCTCTCTCCTCTCTCTCTCTCTCTCTCTCTCTCTCTCTCTCTCTCTCTCTCTCTCTCTCTCTCTCTCTACTCTCTCTCTCTCTCTCTCTCTCTCTCTCTCTCTCTCTCTCTCTCACACACACACACACACACACACACACACTACGATTTCCAATCACCTTCTCCGCTGCGTC